TACCTCGGTACTAGTACAATATAGTACTACACTATGATATAGTATTTGTTTTGATCTAGTATAATATAGTAGGCGTTTTTTTTTTTTTTTCGTTGTTAGAGCAGAGATCTGTTTTGATAGTATCTCATGTCTATTGCACGCTGCTCTAACCTGAAAATCAAGTTGCGAGTTTTTTCACTGTTGAAGTAGAGATTTGTTTCGATGGGAGTATGTAGTATAGTATAGTACTCCGTGCCTATTGCACATTGCTCTAACTCCGTTGAGGATGAAGGTTGCGGGTTTTTTTCATTGTGCGGGAGCAGAGATTTGTTTTGATACGAGTATAATATAGTAGCCAGGTACTGGTAGTATAATATAAGAGTATAATATAGTACTATACTATAATACAGTATCTCGGTACTAGTACAATATAGTACTACACTATGATATAGTATTTGTTTTGATCTAATATAATATAGCAGGCGTTTTTTTTTTTTTTCGTTGTTAGAGCAGAGATCTGTTTTAATGGGAGTACATAGTATAGTATAGTATCTCGTGTCTATTGCACGCTGCTCTAACCCCGTTAAAGATCAAGTTGCGAGTTTTTTCACTGTTGAAGCAGAGATTTGTTTCGATGGGAGTATATAATATAATATAGTACCCCGTGCCTATTGCACCCTGCTCTAACTTTTTTCATTGTGTTGGAGCAGAGATTTATTTTGATACTAATATAACATAGTTAACCCCGGTACGACGATGAATTTGCGGTTTAAAATGAAATTAGTTACATTTGGACATACATATATGTTCATCTGTTATAAAAAGCTGCAATTACTTTTTGGCCAACTTGATGATAACTACATATGTTATAAATATTTCATTTATTTTATTTTAAATTTTCGTGTAGTCTTTCAACATTCTCCTTGGCAACTCCAAAATTCTCAGGAACTCAAAATTCTTGAGAATCTTTTAAAAATCCCGACAATCTCTTGTTATGAGATATTTTCAAGAACCCAACACTATGCGACACGTTCAAGGCACGCATTTAAAAAAAAATTTCTAGAAATCTCCGAATGTTACATATAAATGATATTTAATACGACGAGAGATTTCATCCATTTGAAGTATGGATCAAGTATCTGACATTATACTCTGTACTTGTACATAACTTTTACGATCAAAATTATACACATTTACACGCACTTTCGAAAAATCTGGTACACTAAATGACTGTGGTATAAATAATTGTTAGACGATGTACAGTAACGTCTGTTAAGGAAACGAATATGTTTACTCACGTTAGAAGAATAGATGAAAGCTTCACTTCTGCGCACGTATCTCCAAGAGCTGCAAAATAACGTAACATCTCGTAAGACAAATAAAACTGGCAATAAATTAAAAAGAGAAAGATTATCCTACGTCTGCGCAATATTGGCGAAAATTTTTCAACGCTGCCCCGGGTTTCGTGAAATTTGTCAAAGTGGGCTAGCTACTTTAATCGAAAAGTCGCCGGCGAAAGGAGATCTTACCGCGGTAGGTAGGTATTCCGAGATTCTTACGCGAGGTAGAAAACGAGCGAATTCTTTTGTGCCAAGTAACTCCCCTTTTGTTCACTCCGGCTCTCGTTTTCTCGTTGCAGTATAACATAAAGAAGCGGGAAGAGGTGCAAGAAGCGACCCAAGAGGAGCCGAATCCTTTGATGCGCAAGAAAAAGACGCCGGAGGAATTGGCCGCGGAAGCCGAGGCGGAAGACGAGGACGAGATTACAAGTATGTACACGGAGTCAATTGCATTCGCTCATCACACTCGGTACACACGACCCTCCGCCAAGAGGTTGAGGCCAGGTTGAAATCCACTGGCGCTCCGGTTAAGAACGAACGAGAGATGTAAATTCAACCGTGGTCCCGTCGTACGTGCAGCTACCTGACGAATTAATGCAACGGTGCCCAGACGCTCCGAGGAATGATCAATGAAGGATTAACGAGCCTTGGCTAGAAATCAAACAACTCTAACCATCCACTCGGTTTCTGAGTAAATTCAACAGCGTGAGTGGGAGCGGGGCAGGGGGAGACACGCCGCGTTGCACGCCGCGATCCTCCTCGTCCAGTTTTCACGGGACGAGATCGATGTTCCGTAATTGAGAGAGTTTGAAAAACTGCCAGGCAACTTTCAACCCAACGACCGTTCATTTTCGGACGTTTTCCCCATTGTTTCCGTAACTAAACTGGGACACTATCGTCCACTCGCGGCCCGTTCGCACGCGGGGAACGGTGTACGATTGAAAATCATTTGCAGAGCAAACTGAAGAGTGCTGGATCCTCGTGGAAACGCTCGCGGGACAACAATTCTTTTTTTTTCTTTTTTTTTTTTTTCTTTTGGCCGCGAGATTTCGAAATTCTCGTACGAATCGCGATAATTGATACGGATTATCCGTGAAACGCATTAATTAATCGAGCAAAGCTCTTCGTTTTCGATTGGGAATCCGTTCTGGAATTTCGAGTTTCATTATTCTGAAGAGTAT